GCACTTCAGTGCTCAAGCCGTTGGTTCTTTCTTGTTTGTTTGTTTGTTTTTTTGTTTTGTTTTGTGTTTTTCTTTTTCTGTTCCCTCGTATCTCAGATCCTTTACGATTTCTAAAATCTTTGGTTTATATTGAAATTTGGGTTGGGTTTTGCTCGTCAGTTGTTTTTCTCGTACTTCAAGGATTTGGTGGGCAGAGAGGTGACGGTCGAGTTGAAGAACGACCTAGCGATTAGAGGAACTTTGCACTCTGTCGATCAATATCTCAACATCAAACTTGAAAACACGAGGGTTGTTGATCAAGACAAATACCCTCATATGGTATCTAACTTCTTTACTTGTATTATATTTAAGCGATATAATTGATTGATTATTTTTTGCGCTCACGCATTGTGATGAGACCTGCGTTTTTGACGGATTTGTTTTTATTTGTTTAGGTTTAAAATTTATGATTGGCACCTTCATTCTCTTCATTTCTGCTTAATTTTTATTCCCCTTACCTCTTTATGCTCGTTTCATTCTATTAATTGACATATTATTCTGTGGCGAGATGTATGATATATGGTTACAGTTCACAGATTATTTGTAGCACCGTTTGATATCGTCACCTTAACATTTAAATTATGTACTGTCTAAATTGAGAACATTGATTGTCTTTTCATCCATTTCCCTTTCTTGAATTTTCTTTAGGGGAAGATTTCTAGTAGTAACTTTGTGGGTGGTTCCCAATTTCGGTGGAGTTCTCTAATGTCACTTGGCTAGAAATCCTATCAGGGACCATTTGTTTCTTTCTTGCTGATTTTGAAGGGGAAGGGTAACAAGGTTTTGGATTATATTTAGTGCGAGTCTTGTTTATGTTTTTCTTTGTGGATAACGAGGACATTTCACTCCTAATCTAAATTTTCGATACAAGTAAAAAATTATCAGTGTGATAACTTTGACGATGGTAAAGGTCAACGTAGCACTTAGGTTCTCTGAATCTGTTATATATATTTATATAGTACATAAATGTGGAGATGGGAGATAAAATAATTCAGCATTATGGAAGGGAAGGTAGTAGGTGGCTTATCTATAGAGCTATGCTCGGATTGACTATGAATCTATTATATTTTTTTGGAATCAATCAATGTGAATTGTTTAAGAGAGAAGTGGGAAGCATTTGTGAAAGTAGAGGGTTTCCTGGTTGAGCTTAATTTGATTTTCTAATCCCACTAGGAATCTAAAAGACTAGTTCTTATGGACTATCAGGTGCATGTGGTCTCTAGTTCATGATTTTTTCCCCAACTACTCAACTTCTGATGTAGGAGATTAGTAGAATTTGTTTGGTATTAATTGTTGTTTTTTAGCTACAATTTATTAATTATTTTTAGTTGGAGATTGATATGTTTGCCAAGTAGTTTTGTGGATTAATTGCTTTTAGTTAGTTAGTTAGTTTTTCTATTTGTTAGTTAGCTAAGCTACCTCTTGTCCTCTATAAATAAAGGATGATCATCTTCAAAACTTTTTGAATCGGGTAGAGTTTTTTGTTCCGGAGCCTAAATGCCAGTTGCGTTACTAACGAGTGGGGAAGAACACTCATTTAATACTCATGCAGATACATGAAGAGGCCGAGAAAATTTTTTTTGAACAAGATACAGAAGAGGCCAATAAATAGTGGTTACAGAAATGGACCATCTTCAGACAAATCAGACCAAAAACACTCGTTTTGTATCAAGAATGTAGTTTTATAGATTGTGTAACTAAATGTATAGCCTAAGTGCTGTGGTGGTTTTTTGTTTTTTGAACCAAAACTTAGTTTAATACTACTTATTACAAAGGTACCATCTTCTTTCTTTAGCCTGTCTGTTCAATATCTGTTTTCTGATAGAATTTAAATTCTCCTGTGGCTTCCTGTAAGGCCACGGTTTTGAAGAAAGAGTAAAATTTTGAAACCAATAATGGCCATGGTGTGTAAACTTTGGTTTAAAAGATACCATATGATGGGCATTGGATATATAAGAATGAGTTTGCAGTGTAGGAACGGGAACTTTGCCTTTTTTCCCAGCATCTAGTTCTTGTTCATTGTGGAATGAATTTTGTTTTTATTCTCCTTTCTTGATACAAGCCAATCTGAAATTACACTTCGGTCACATAACAAAAAGTCTGAACTGTAGGGGGTAGGAAGGCTTACTGTTGTTGCCTGTTGGTTGCCGATTCTTTTATGGTTGGTGAATACTCTCTGTTTTTACGTGACCAAGGACATCTGCAAATTTCTAATATATATAAGAAAGAAGAAAGAAAAATGAACATCTGAAAATCCATTTTTTCATTTTGTTCTGCTCTGTGGTCTTAAATTTACTGAGCCCCCAATCCATTCTGTAATCTGCTGCCTGTAATTTTGTTGTTGTCTTGAACTAATCGTGCAAAATTTCTCTCATTTCAGCTTTCAGTGAGAAACTGTTTTATCAGGGGGTCGGTGGTGAGATATGTTCAACTTCCGCCAGATGGTGTTGATATCGAGCTCTTGCATGATGCCACAAGACGCGAGGCTCGGGGTGGCTAATGTCAGTTAGTTTGAAAGCTTGTTTGGAATTGCATCATAATTGATGGTGCACCTTTCCTTCAGTATACACTGCGAGACTATTAGAAGTTTGTACTTTGTAGTTGCTACACTTTATTCTATGGAAAGAATCTAATGACATTCTTATTAACATGTGTAAGTGAAACCAAAGCGGAGGTCTCAGAGTTCGAGTTTGGTTGTGAATGCATATAACAGATTCGAGGTATAAGAGTTTGAACTTCTGACCTCATGCAAAGGAACATGTGTCAGTTGAGTTATGTTTATGTTGACATAGATTTCAGTGTTGCTAGTGTTACACATGCCAATAAAAAAAAAAGAATAAGAAGGAACAAGATTGAGATTAAAGAAAACTCAATTTGTTAGTCAATTATTCCTATTATTTTAATGATTTCATGCGCTTGATAGAGAGCACACAATCAAATTTGATACTACAAAATAGTAAAGAGGAGAAGAATTTCAGGAATGTACCCTTGCAATTTGCATTTGTGATGGAACCACATATCTCAAATATTCAATTTGGTTCGGTAAAACGGAACCACTTTTCATTACATATATATATATATATATTCTAAAATTTTATTTACTCCCTAATCTCTCACCATTTGAACTTTTTTGCCCTGTTTTTATTTTCTTCTTCTTAGTTCTAAGGTTTTGTTGTTCTAGCAGTAACTAGCTTGATTCCTTTAGCCATAATCGTTCCATTCAAGTCTTCTTTCAATCGAATATAGAATAGTAAATTCATCTCTAATAAGGTTAAATTTATTATTATGTTTTTATTTTATTTCATCTTTTCTAGTATACTAAGTTGTTTAATTTGATTTTTAAAAGTTTTGAAAAACTTCCAAAAACTTCCAATCTCTTCAGGAGTTGTAGATGAAAAATAGTAATTTAGTGTTTTTGGTTTGTTTTGAAACAATTATATCGTAATTTTAAGTTAATTTGTTTGATTTTGAATTTGTAATCTTAATCTCCGAGGATTTTCTTGTATTTGCTAAAATAAAAATCTAAAAAATAACATTTAGTGTAGGAAGGGTAATTTTGTCCAAAATAAATTTACAATTGGTGATTTCTAGTCCTCTCGAAAAAGAAGAGAAAAAAAAAGCCTCACGGTCTTCGATTTCGATTCATCACAATTTCTACCAATCTCTATCTCTCTCACAATTTCGGAGGTGCAATCTCTTGATTCTCTTTCACACTTTTGATTCTCAACTTGCTTTGGTTGAGATTTTGAGGCAATCGGTCGGTTAGCGTTGCCCTAACAGCTACCGCTCGTTCAAAGCAGCTGATTCTAACAATTCTTATTCCGTTTCTGAGCTGAGTTCTCTGTTAAGGCAAGGTGAGTGTTCAACCATTTTAGTTGTAATTGTAACATGTGATTAAATATGCTTGAATTTCAGTATATTCTGGTACATTAAGAATCAGAGTTGTTTATTATGACCTCGCGTATTGATCACAAACATGTTATTCGTACTGATATAATTACTCTCCTTTGATTATGCTTATAATCACATAATCAGAAAACCGACTCTGCTCCGCTGACTGATTGCCACTAGTATATTATTCTTCTCCTGCTTCTTCTCATTTTATTTTATTTTTTTCTGTTCTTGTCACGATTATTTCATCTGCTTTCTTTTTTATATCTTATTCTCGTATGATGTTTTAGTGTCTCTTAGTATCAGTAGCCTCATATTGGTGTTTAACCTGCGAGGTTGTTTCAAAAAAAAAAAAAAACCTGCGAGGTGTGTTTTCTAATTATCTTTGTTATGAATTAAACTCAACTAATTAAGGCCGGCCAATTCCTTTATGTTTTCTCTTTCTAAAAATTATGCTTGTACCTACTAATTCCTTTGGTCACCTTTCTTTAAAACAAGTTAAAATTCTTAGCCAATTTTCAAAAACAAAATAAAGTTTTTGAAAACTACTGTTTTTAGTTTTCAAATTTTGACTTAGATTTTTATTTGAAGAAACTTTTCATTGATAAATGAAAAGGAACATAAAATGTTCAAAGATACAAACATTGGTCTCATGTAAATGTGCTTATGAGAATTTAGATCATATTTGTTTTTGGGATTTCTGATAACAAACTGTGTGTATTGGTCAATGGTATGGTGTTGTTCCACCTTTTGTTTCGGGACAATAAGGCCCTTTAGAGTGTAACTTTTTTTCTCCTATCTTTTAGAGTATTTAATAGCGAAATAGTAGAATGTTTAGAGAGTTGAGAGTTATTAGGGAGGTGTGGTCTGTAACTAGGTTCCATGGCTTTCTGTTGGTGTGGTGTGTGTGATCTGTAAGTTTTGTAATTATCCTTTCTCTTTTATTCTAGAAAATTGGGGCTCTTTTATATCGTTTTTAGGCTCCTTTGTTAATAGACTTTATCTTACTCACGCATGTATATTTTTTCATTTCTTCCTATGAAAGTTCGGCTTCTCTCTCTCTCTCTCATATATATTTAAGAAAGCCTTTTCTACTAACCGTTTGATTTGACATAACTCCTGATTGAAAATATGCTAGATTTGGAGGGAGATGTCATGGCCAGTGTGCTACCTTTCTATTGATTGATAGTTCAAGCCTTGATATTTATTTCTGTTTTGAGCTTCCATACATCATAACGCTTGAGTAAAAACTAGCGTTAAGTCAACGCCGTTTCTCTAATAGCCATTTCTTTCTCTCTTTCTTTTTATTTGGATCTTTCAGATAATGAAAGCATAGTTCATTCACCAGTTTGTTGGACTAACTATGAATCAAGGAGTGGTATCAGTATCACGTCCTCTATCTATTACCATACCCTGGTACCACCAAAGAAACTTCAAGACATTCAAGTTCCCAAAGGTGCTCAATGCATTCGCTCTCCGCCACCGCTTTATTCATACAAGACATCCTCCAATTTGCTGCACACAAAGTAATCCTTGGGAACCTGCACCAATCACGTATGCTTCCAACAATGAAGCGGATGACAGCTTCTTGAAAAGAACCGATAATATTTTTGAAAGCCTTAATGCTGATAGCACAACTGAAGTTCCAGAAGTAGAGATTAAAGAGGTTACGGGGGTAAGTAATCAACCAGAGGTGCATTTGCAGTTCTTCAAATGGCCAATGTGGCTTTTGGGGCCTTCTCTTCTCCTGACAACAGGCATGGCCCCGACATTGTGGCTTCCCATGTCATCTGTATTTCTCGGTCCCAATGTAGCCAGCCTCCTCTCTTTGATTGGACTCGACTGCCTCTATAACCTTGGCGCTACGCTTTTTCTTCTCATGGCTGATGCTTGTGCCCGGCCTAAACAACCAATAAAAGCCATGAACAGCGAGGCTCCTTTCAGTTACCAGTTCTGGAACATGGTTGCAAATGTGTTTGGATATGTGATCCCTTTAGTGATGCTTTATGGATCTGAAAGTGGGTTGATTCAACCCCAGCTGCCTTTCATCTCCTTGGCAGTTCTATTGGGTCCCTATATTCTGCTCCTTTCAGTACAGGTTTTGACCGAAATGCTGACATGGCGCTGGCGATCGCCCGTTTGGCTGGTTACTCCGATCGTATATGAGGGTTATCGGATTTTGCAGCTCATGAGAGGGTTGAAACTCGGGGCTGAGCTCAGTGCACCGGCCTGGATGATGCACACAATTAGAGGATTGGTTTCCTGGTGGGTGCTGATACTTGGTGTTCAACTCATGAGGGTTGCTTGGTTTGCAGGTCTTGCCTCTCCATCTCGTAAGCAGGAAATTGTCTCTAATGGTTCGTGATATTGTTGATCACAAAGTAAGGGTACGGTGTGTTTGGGATAACTTTTGAAAATATTACTTTTTAAGTAAAAACACTTCTTCTCCGAGCACTTTTTAAAAGAAGCATTACTCAGGTGTTTCTCATCTTGGTTCGAGTGTTTTTAGAATCTTGAAAAATCTTTTTTATGATTAAACCGAAACACTATGAAATGTTTTAAAAGTACTTTTAATTGACTAAAAATACTTTTTGCCTTCTCAAAGTTCATCCCAAACCCATGAGTACTTTTTACTTTGATATGAGATTCGCATAAAATCTCAGTGGCTCAAACAAGTCTAGAAGTAGGCATACGAAAAAGGAATGTGAAACCTAGGGGAACGTGATGGTTGTGTATGTTGCCTATGTTTATTTCTCGTTGAATTAGCAGTGTATGTGTATAAAAGATTGTGTTATAGAAAAATAATAGATTGATGTTGATATTGATGATTCAAATTCATTAATATATTGATGCTAACTTGTGTCTTTTTTCTGAATAGAATATTACAGGAGTCAGGGTTTTGGACATAAAAAATGCTCATGTCTAAAACCCACAAAATTCTTGGTGGTCTTTTAATTTTTCTTTTTTTAGGTGCGAGGATTTGAACCCAGGATGTTTTTGTCTTTTTTACCAAAACTCAATTTTGTTATGCTCCCATTTGTTTCAATGATGCATTATAGTTTGCTGAATTAATAGCCGCAGTGATGGTTTTGAGTTTTTGTTTGTACTGTTAAGATATTTCCACTGAACGTGCAACATCATCTCCTGCCCCACTCCATGCCAAGATGATTGATTAATTTATATCTTTTTATCAATCTGAATTACTTTATTTATTTAATTTTTTTTTTCAAAAAAATTTGCCCTTTTTTCTCTGCGTTAAAATACTATTTTTTTATTCATTTTAGCATTTGTACTTTTAAAATATTCATTTTGATGATTGTATTTTCGAAAATTTCATTTTTGTTACTGCAGTTCTAAAAAGTGATCGTTTTAGTCTCTTAATTATAATTTTATCTTATGTTTTCAATTATACAATTTCAACACAACACTACATTCAATATATTTTTTTGAAGTGTAGCTATAACTTTGTATTATAAAAAAAATACATAGATTAAGATGAACTAAAGTTGAACCACACTAAAATAAACCTTTTAAACGTAAGAGGACGAATATGAACAGGAAAAAAAAATATATAATAAAAGTACAGGGAGCACGGTACTTTAGCTTTTTTTCTTTTTCTATCTTTCTTTTTTATTTAACTTAGATGTGCTGGAAGTTCATTTGATTATGTAATGATATGCTGATGGGAAGAAAAATAATGCAACCTCTAGTGTTTGTTAGATACATTTTAATTTTAGTTTTAGTTTTTAGAAAATTTTCTGGCATTCTCACACTTTGTGATGTTATTTGCCAATCTTTGGTTTTTATTTTATTTTAATTTTTAATCTTTGAATCTTGACTTATATTATGAAAATATTTTAAAAGTTCGCAAGACTAGAAAAAGAACTAAACTAAAAAATACATGGGTAGGAAAGTCGTGTTTACTCGCATTTTTTGTGTTTATATTTTTTTGATTTTTGTCAAAACAAGCACAACTTAGCAGTAATTGACATATTAAGAGGTTGCGAGTTTGAATTCTCTTGACATGTTGTACTAAAAAAATATATACTAACATATTTTTTTTAAATATATAAATAAAATGAAACATTTATATATGACTCTAAAGGAGCAAGTAACTCTTTTTTTTTTAAGAAATTGAACCAATAAAATAAAAGCTCAAGTTCATCACTATGGTACCACTGTTCAGAATTTTGACCGCTTCCTCGGGTAAATCTGTCGCACAGATGATTCAATCTTTATTCGGTGGGACAAAAAATGAGACTATTGACACTACGTGCTAACAAACTTACAATCATAAGTAATGCAAGAACAACTAAAAAAAATTTATACCACTAGAGTTTGAATCGAGGGATCTTCAGCTTCGAGAACTTTGTGACTAGGCTCCTTCTCTTTCTAAGATGAAATTATCTCGCCATCAAATTATAATAGATAAGTGTATTGACCTAGGGAATGTTCACCGGACGAGGTGGGGGATGAGTTCCATTTAACTCCAAAATTCTGCAAAATTCTCCACAAAATTTTGAAGAGAAGTGGGGATTTTCCACTGGAAATCAAGGGATCAGATTTTCCTCCTATTTTTTTTTTTCAGTATAAGTTTTAAAATCATTTCTTAATTAAATATCTTTTTCTAAATAAATTTGTAATTATTTGTTTAATTTCTAATGATAAAATAATTTTATTTACGTGGTATTCAATGGGTGGGTGAGAAAGAATAAGATTTTTAAAAGTATCATTGAGAATAAATGCAAAGATTCATATTCTAATAAACAGCAGTCTAATTCGAAAGAAAGTACCATGATGACTTCGATGCGAAACATGTTTAATTTAAACATTTCCAATACAACACAACAGTTTAAAGAAAAAGAAATATTATTCCAAAAAAGAAAAGATATATATATATTTTGATAACAAGAAAGAGATATTTTATCAAAAAGGAGATAAAAGTAGATATTTATAATCATAGAAAATAGGGAAATAATTACATAATTTGGCAGCACGTGAGATCCTAGCCCCCCTAATCTACAATTCCACTGTCGGCCTCCACCACCTGTCCCCCGCTCAGCATCTCCACCTCCGCTGCGGCAGCACCACCGCAGCCACGGCCACCACTTCAACGCCCAAATTACCGAAACACCCTTCCCAAGCCCATGCAAAACACACCCATTCTACTCCACTTCCCCATTCTGCCCTCCCCTTCCCCATTCTCCTTCTGCTCCTCCCTCTCACTTCCTTCTCCTTCTACTCGTCTTTATATCAGCTCCAGAATCGGAAGCCGAGCAAGAAGTACGAAGCGGAGCTTCAGTGGAAGAGGAACCAAGGCAATGCCTTCTGCTGGCGGTGCCGACGGCGACGTTGACGGTGGTGATTTCCGTGCCTTCAACCTCACCGAGTCTTCGTTCTTGGCCTCCTTAATGCCTAAGAAGGAAACCGCTGCTGACCGCTTCATCGAGGCCAATCCGGAGTTCGATGGCCGTGGCGCCCTGATTGCGATCTTTGGTACTGTATTCACCTTTTTGCACTCTCATATGATGATTAATAACAGGCTTACTCGGCTTGATCTGTTTTTTTCTTGTCGTTATTCTGTGTTGGATTTGAGAAATGTTGTAGTGCTCGCTGTTATATTCTTGTTCTTTTTCTTCACTACTGGAGCTTAAAGATCGTTAGATTGATTATTGGAAGTGGTTATGTTTTACTATATCCTGGTGTTTCTTCTCAGATAGTGGTGTTGACCCTGCTGCTGCGGGATTACAAGTGACGTCGGATGGAAAGCCAAAGATATTGGATATTCTTGATTGGTATGAAGGGATGCATATTCTTCTTCTTCTTATTATTATCGCGGTTGCATCGATTCTAATATAACATTCATAATATATATTTTTTTATGTCAGTACGGGGAGTGGCGATGTTGATATCTCGAAGGTGGTGAAGGCAGAGGCAGATGGTTGCATTATTGGAGCTTCAGGTTCATGCTAATAATTTTGTTAAACAGCCAATGGATTTTTACAAATTGAAATTTGAACACTTATATTTTCTAGACCACCTTTTGCTGATTTGCTCAGCTACCATTAATAAATCTGTGGAATAGATGTTTGATAATGGTTGCTTGTAGACAACGTGGATTTTATACCATAAAATATTTTATTTCCTAATATAAGGCTTCTTAGAGTTAGTTGCCTAGCCCTACGGCTAAGAGAGAAGGTTCCAAGGATAATGATATAGCCTTGGATTATTTGTAAGAGGATCTTGCGTCAAGATCTTGAATTTGATGTTCTTGCTTCAAACTACATCTAAATTGTTTTAAGAATTTTATTATACTTGTTCTTTCTTGTCCCAAGTGTCCAACCCTCACTGCGTTGCCCAACTATTAAACAGTATGTAGCTGGAGGCTGGAGCATATTTCTTTCTCTCTTTCTTTCTTATTCTCCATGTTTTCTATGCTCTTACTTGTTGGGCAGTGTTTTTACTTCAGCCTCACAATGTTCTCATCATACTAATCACTCTGATTAGGGGCTTCTTTGGTTGTCAATTCTTCGTGGAACAACCCTTCTGGCGAGTGGCATGTGGGCTATAAACTGGTCTATGAGTTATTTACGGACACATTGACTTCTCGTTTGAAGGTGAGAATTTAGTTTTGCCTGTTTTTGAGACACGTACAGGACTTAATTATTTTGTAGGAGGAAAACTTAATCTTGGAGTTTCCTTCATCTTTTTACACTTGACTGCACAGAGAGAGAGAAAGAAGGTTTGGGATGAAAAGAACCAGGAGGAGATTGCGAAGGCTGTGAAGATTCTTGATGATTTTGATCAGGTTTTTTGACTATACAGCCTGCTAACTTTCACCTTTTCATGTTAACTTCCATTGAATATCTGTAGCAGGTCTTGAAGGATAACTGATTGAAGTGCTTATACTAGCATTAGTAGTGCTAGTAAAGTTTTTCCCCTCTTATTTTTTTCCCCGAACAGTAATTAAATTTCTATATTTATAGCCATTATTCAATCAGTTGAAGAAATTATTAGCTATTTAATACTTATTTTTATAAGTATATTTAGTCAATTCATTACTTTATTTTTACTTGTGTTGTTTTTATTTGTTTTCTTTTTTAAACTTTTAATGTAATGTTCCAATTTTTTCATGTCACGTCACTGCTTGCAGGTTCGCCAAAATATTTCGGGAGAGTTGGCTTACTAATTTAGTAGTTTTAATGTTGAAGTAATTTAAATGCATAACTGGATGTTTTTATTTGGCCTTGTAATTCTGTTATTTAGATTCTATATTTTGTTTTTATGTTTCTTTTTCACTAGAGTTTGTATCCTTGAACAATTATTGTTCCTTTTCATTTTTTCGATGAAAAGTCGGTTTTTTGTTAAAAAAAAAAAAGAGCATAACTGGTTGAAATATTTCCTAGTCAAAGGTTTTCAAAGGATGTTAGCACAATTGCACATTTACACTGCATGCTAATTATTTATTTAACCTTGATAATAGCTTTTATGACATCCTTGTTTCAGAAACACACCAAGGTGGAGGACCCAAATTTGAAAAGGGTTCGCGAGGACCTCCAAAACCGAGTTGATATTCTTAAAAAACAGGCTGATGTAAGTTGTGTTAGTGTTTCAGTGTGTTATAAAACTTCGACTATGAAAATGGTCGATAGGTAAACTCTTTAATTCCATAATAAAAATGGAGTCGACTCCCAAATTAGTTGGAGATGATGTATGGAGAAATCTGAAATTGGGCTAGGGGCAAAGAAAACAAATTATAAGTTTATGAGAACCTTCTTAACCTCTTTGCTTAAAGTTTTAACTCTGGTGCTTCCATGTCACCCTTTTTGCATTTAATGGTTGCTCAGAAGTACTAAATATCCCAGG